GGTTTCCCTAGCAAGATGTCGTCTCGTTCGGAAAGTCTAGTGACGTTAAACTTTCCCCACATAGTTCGTCCGTCGAGTCGGACGAAGAGTATGCAGTATCGGGTGACCTTCCCAGCAGTGGATTGGCTTCCATCTACTGTAGTGATGCGGAAGGGTTTCTTCAGGAGGTGGGTTCTAATATTGTGCTTCTTTACGAAGGTGTCACAAATAAATGTTCCCCCAGCCCCTGAGTCGATGATGGCTGTTGTTGCAACGGTTTTCGTACTCGTGGAAGAGAAAAGTGTCACCGGGACACGGAATTCATTTTCTTTTCCTACAGTATGAGTACACAGGATATCTAAGGAGGGGACGCACGTTGCTTTTGCGGTCCTCCGCTCTAAAAATCCTCTTCTCCTTGGAGCCTGTTGGTTTCCATATCGTCCTCGGAGGTTTCGTCATCACTGCTGGTCTCTACCAGTCGTTACCGGAGTCTTTCCTTTGGTATCTTTCTTCTCTCCACGTCGTATCTTCGGGTGGAATCTGGGATCGTTGGCTCTGTGGCCATGCTCTTTGCATGAGAAGCAAAGGCCCTTCTTGTAGCATTCGTCTTTCTCTGCCTGAGAGAGGGTGCGGTCTACGTCCATAGCGTTAGGGTCTCTGGACGATGAGACATTAGGCTTGGGGTAGTACTTGGAACCGCGAGGGGCGTATCGGGTGTGTTGGTTGCGGGAGTTGGCAGAGACGGCCTTGCTCCTGCGGTAGTTAGCGTCGAGCTGTACCGCAGAAGTGTACCATTTTTCGATGGTGTCAGGAAGTGTCTCCTTCCTGTAGATTGCTTCGCGAAGGCTTGGGTTCAGGCCTTTCTCAAAGAAGTGTGAGAGTGTCACGCCTTCCTTGATATTGGCGATGGTAGCCAACGTTTTGAACTTCGAGATGTAGTCCGTAACGTTGTTTCCCATTCTGAGTTCGGCGATTTCGGTGAGGGCATTCACCTGCTTATCAACGGGTTGAAATGCAAGGTTGAATCCTTTCTCGAATTCTGCGAACGTTCCGAATTTCGGAGGGTTGGTGCTGAAAGCTTCGCGATAGAAGTTATCAGCCCATGCTTTAGCGCTGTTCTTTGTCATTAATGACAGGGCGACGGACACCATGATCTGCTCGCTGCAATAGACGGTGGGGTTGATGAGGAAGTACGTCTTTAAGCTGTAGAGCCATCGTTGTGCGTCGTCGGTGTTCCCATCGTAGTCCGTTGGTGACCCTGCTTTGAGTTCAGGGGCACGAACTACGACGGCGGTGGAGGAGGATGATGGGTTAGACATTCTTGTCTTCGGATTGGCGCTAGTGTTTCGGGGAGGTACTTCGTCTGGAAAGTCCTCTTCAGAAGTCGGAGTGTTTCCTAGATCTTCTTCGTCGTTCAGTCCCTCGTCTGAGTGGTACTGCTCTGTCGGTGAGGTGGGAGAGCTAAACTGTCCGTCTACCTCTTCTTCGTCAGGATCTTCCTGATTCGGGTCGCGCTCCCAAGAGAACTTGCGTGTCCAGGGAGTGGTCGTCTTGTATCTGTTTCTGTCCTCGATAGGTGTCGAGGGCTAGAAGGTAACTTGAATCTTTTGTTACGACTTGGATGGTATCTGTTGGCGACGCTCAAACAGAGCTTGTGTCGTCAACGGTCTGTGGACGTCCTTGGGCTAGCCCAAGGTTAGGGGTCGTACTTGGCGTGTCTTCGGCAAGTACGATTTAACGCCTATGTCCAAATCGGGTAGCTTATGTCACGCGGGTGCGAGACGATAAGCTATATCGGCCTAGGCTTACGACACCCGAAGGTTAATCGTAAGGATCGTCGTTAATTAGAAGGACAGAAGTCCGACTAGTTAACAGGGGCTTTGCTCGTCGACGAAGTCGATGAGTAAAGATCGAGACTATAGGCTTATCTGCGAAGAGCAGATAAGAAGATAGAATATAGACTGCTGGCGAGGCAGAAGGATCACTCTGGTGAGAGTAGGAGGTCAAGAACCAAGTAGATTCAAGTTAGGGAATATGGTACATGGTAGCGAGTTTATATAGAGGGCAGGAGACGTATTAGTGGGTGATAACTCGTACTACCGGGAGAGGCAATCGGTAAAGGGTAAGACCATAATAGGAAGGCACGTTCGATCTAGGTAGAACGTGCTGGATAAGAAAGTGAGTCAAAGATCAGAATGAGAAGTGAAACACGCAGGGACACGATCGTGCAACTGCGGATCTAAGTATAAGTCGCATGTGCGACTGTGCATCGAGTCAGAGATCAAGAAAGGGAAATAGGGCAAAGGGGATGCGTCATGCATCGTGTCATAGGTTACCATCCGGATGGTAAGGGCAAGGGGACTGTCCGCAGGATCAGTCAGGTGGTGAAACGGAGCATGGGTATGCTTCGTCAGCAAAAGGATCCGGCCAAATGTACTGGCTTTGCTGAAGCGACAGGTAGAGGGCGAAAGGGAATGCGAGGACGACGAGGATGACAAGGGTAAGGTCGGGGTGAGGGTATGATGCGAGGGCCGATACGAGGAGGATCAAGAGAAAAATAGTAGGGGCCCAAGCGTCTAGATGTTCTTGTAACAGTGACTGGTGAATAAGCTTCTGGTTATCGTTTGGAAAGATGTACTGATGATAATGTCTCAGGAATCCCCATGCTGATCTTTAGGCTCAAGATTGTGCTCACCGTATCAGCCAGACAAAGGCTGTCCGAATCCTCCATTTCATCACAGAGAAGAGTGTCGAAGAAGCTATGTATGCTCGTGCGCGGTACAAGCTCGATATTGACGACAAGGTCATCCAAGCCCCTCGTTTCAACAACAAATCAACGCAGGAAGAGCAGGAAGAATTCCTGGTAGGTGTTGCAGCAGCTCTCTCGCATAACAAATAGCTAAATGAGTGGTATGCAGTGGTCTGAAGAGCTGCCTGAATGCTATCAGACAGATGAACCGTTTGAGCCGAAGGAGATTAATGATGCTTTCCAGGGCCGTGGTCAGCGTCGTCATAATGTCGTCAATTATAACAACGGTCTTAGCGATGAGCAGTGGGCGATGGTACGTCCAGTAGGATGTCGCGATGCATGCATGCTGATTGGGATGTTAGGCTGTGTAGGACAGTGAAGATTTGCAGGAACTCGTCAATCATGCCCGTGGCAAGAAAGAACGACGCGCTGCCAACAAGCTTCTCAAGGAAACCGATACACCTGGTCATAGTACTCCAGCGTCAGACTTGGGTGTCGAGGTCGAGATTTCACACTGGGGTATGCGAAGGTGCGTGTTTATTCTACATACTATACATTGATACAATGCTGATGGTGAATATTTGCGGGTCAATGTCACGAAAACGACACTATCAGGACCAGGTAAGTCTTCATTGATTAACAGACATCCTAGGACTCACTTTAGGCTGGAATCACGAGCGACTCGTTCCGTCTCGATTCCTGTCGCCGATCCACCCCTTCACCCTTTTCCAAAGGCCCTTTGGCACCTCCACATTTGCCTCGGCCTCCTCTGCTTCCGCCTCAGCCCGAAGTGCCTCATTCGCCCTGATCACAACATTGATCCATTGGCGCTTCCTCCCTCGCACGCTATCACTGGCAAAAGACTTTGAAGCTGCCATTTACTTAACGCGATCTCGTCAATACATCATACTTATGAGTACACTTGCACCACTTACTGTAGTTTTGTGCCTTGAAATAAATGTGTGTCCTGGTGATGCTTATCTGCACATTATCGCGCTTGTTTGTCACGCGCTTTCTTTCGACTAACACGCTCAATCAAATAAATGTAAATAAGTGGTAAATAAGATTTATTGACCGGCGGCAAGTCTCGAAAAAGGAAGTCAAGAAATGTGGGAATTTACTGATGCGGGTCGCTGATTTGTCAGCGAGGCCAGGTGAACGCGCGTTTTACATGCCTGCGGTACAATAGGGGAGTTCAAAGTTAAATGCTCAACGCCCAAGCCTAACGCCCAACCTCGTGACCGAAATTCGGTATACCTAGAATAAATAGAAAGCACCAATATGTGCAACAATACATCCTATATATGGTCTTGCGAAGCATCTTTTGTAGCAGACAGCTCAGCGACAGTCAGAGTCAACTATATAGATTGGGTATACCTGTAGCAGACAACTACATGTGATGTTAGATACGTAGGTACTAAGTAATAGAACGATGCTAACCTCAGCGACAGTCGGAGTCAACTGAGCAAGCTGATGTGAAGAGTGACGAAAATATGTAAGTAAGCAACGGTACCGAAGGACTACAACGAGCATCTAATATGCAACACTCCCCCTCAAACTGAGCGTAGTCCAAGGGCAGAGGTGAAAAGTGCTCCGAGTTATCAGTGGGGTCATCTTGGACACCCTCGCCAGTTGCTCTGAGCCGACGTGCATGGCGTTTGTAACAATTGACAAGACTATCAGGTAGGATGAGCCACTAAAGAGATATGCAAATTTGAGGTGGGTCACGTACTAATCGAACCATTTTTTAACATGGTCACCAACTGAGTCAGTGTTGAGGGGCCAGGGCATACAAGTCTGCAAGGATGACAGATCCGATGCGTTTGAAGACTGCAGTTTCAGTGTCCTTCGATGTATTCTGTTACTGATATTTTCAGCGCAGTTGAGATGTAGCGGAAGTGAGCTTACCTCGTCCTTCCTTTTCCCAAGAAGTGTCTTCCTGCTCTGATTTCTCGGCCTCAGCAAGGAGTTTCCAGGTAAGAATTCGTAAGATCCGTAGTCCGTTATATATCAGGGATGGCTGGTCCGGTTTGTTTCTTCCCTCGCGCCATAGTCCGAGCAGCCGAAGATGAGATAGAGAAGCGGGGACGGGTACTGAGGAACAGCGAGATTCCAGTAGAGCGGGGCGATGATGTAATACACTTGTAGGTTTATTTCGTATTTACCTCTATTTACTCTAGGTATACCGAATTTCGGTCACGAGGTTGGGCGTTGGGCATTTAACTTTGAACTCCCTAATGAATAAAACCAACTTTTCTTGGACGGTCTCACAATGCCAAGAACCAAACAGACCGCTCCCAAATCGACTGGCGGGCTCGCCCCTCGAAAGAATATCCAAACCCCAGCGTTCGTAATGAAAAGGGACACAACTCCGCCACAAATTCTTCGTGAAATGGTGCAATCTCACCTGGAAATTCAATCGGGACCGCCACACAATGATGTGAGTGGCACTTCATTCAATTGACGACCCTCTATTTATACCCACAGTTTTGCCTGATCTGCCAAGATGGCACTTCCAGTAATGGCAAGGACTCCCTCTATGCATGCGAGGAGCCTGGCTGTCTACGCGTTATGTGTACTAGATGCATGTTACTTCCGGCCAGCCACCTACACCTCATTGAGCAACCGGGTGTCAAGTTCCGTTGCGTACACTGTCATACACTCTTGGACAAGAGGTCTGGTGATCTTACGCCGTTCTACGTGAGCCTAATTGTACATGGTCTTGTCATTCACTTCATAACAACGCTTAGGGATTTTTCAAGGATGGGAACCCCGTTTTACCATCATTCATACCCATCGTTGGACAGTTGCAGCTATCTCGACGTTCTCAGATATCCGCGAAGCCCGTCCTCGTCATTCACTTCAAGCTTGTGGGTTTTGAGGCCACTGCGAGCCCGATCGACATGGTTAACTCGTATCTTTCTTCTTTCTTTCCGAATGGCGGCCTTCGCTTCATTGAAGTTATTTTTGACCTTGGCACCGACGCCAAGATTATAGCCTATTCCCAACAGTATGAGAAGCTCGCGAAGGAGGTGATGGATGACTGTAACTACCAAACTATGTGTATCGCGATCACCGATCACACAGACGACAACACTGGCGACCCATTTCTTGGATACTCCCGCGGATCTTCCTATGTTTCTGCCACCGTTCCTGATGTAAGTCTACTCTTGGTTGCTTGCATTCTCGCCGTCGGATGCTTAATTTTTCAGTTCATGAATTCGTTACTTGGCCCATGGGGGCAGCTGATGCAACGCGCGGAGAGCACCACCCTCTTTTTTCTGGGTTGTGGCGCCATTATCACCCAACCAGAAGGTTTTCGGGGCTTGCGTTCGTCTGTCGTCGATCATGCTTTTTCACATGCAGTCGCGTTTACTGCCAAGCACTTTCATCCTTGCCTCGCCTCCCATTTTATGGTATCGTTCGTGCAAGCCGTCATTGTCGAAGGTTTTGCACTGCGTGAAGCATTTCCCAATATACTTGACCAGTCAGGGTTAGGTATGCACACGGACGTTCTCTTGATGACCGCAACACCTGAAGACACGGTGCCGCTTCGAATTACCCGTTATAAATGGGCTCACGCCTCTATTCGTCCATGGGGAAACGTACTTCCTCTACAGTGTCCGCAATGTGGGATTCCAGTTGTGTGGGAGCGAATCCAGGCCGATTTTTCCCAGAAGTATATGGTCTTTCGATGCCCATCTGTAGGCTGCGGCCGTACCAGTACCAAGAGAGGCAGATTACCCCGCAAGAAGTTCACCTGCAAGGCCCCAGAAGGCTCAACGTTACTCCCAGGGCGAAGACAAAATGCCTCCTGGTTGGAGATCGTTCTTGACTTCTGCAGGAATGATGCTGAGACAACCTGACATGGTATATGATATCTTACGTTTCTATAGAAGTTGTATCCCTCATGCTGTATCTTTCCTGTTACATTCCATTGAAATGCAAAGGTTTCGAAATTAGGCCTCGTATTACTCTTTCCTTAGCCCGAGTGGAATGCTACTATAGTATAGTACTACTGGCTGCACGCCATCACTTACGCGACTGACTTGCTCTGATCATTGTTGATAACCGTCCCTCGCTGGCTGTATTTATGCAATTTCACAATTTTGTTCATGAACCCCAATATTCTAATAAGCTATAGCGCCAGCTATTGGTTGGTATGCACACTATACCTACTAGATTCAGCCAAAGAGCTCAGAAACATATCCGAACGGAATTGGTCGTAGACGCTATGCAGGGTAAGTTTCCCCATAAGTGGATGCTCTTTTCCCTGTGAACGACTCAGCTATAAATCCGAAATCCATAACAAAGTCTCACCTTTATGTCTTGGGAAGTGGACAAAGCCATAAGACGCTCTATCAGATCCTTGATCTCAGCATCTCCATCATCGTGTAGTAAACAGACTGCAGTTTACCAGTTAGTAAGTTCAAGGTTTAAAAACAACGCTCCTTACTATGGCGACGGAGAATGTCAGACAACAAGGTAGGGACTATTGCTTTCTGTCCGGCGGCAGCTAAGGTAACTTGTGGTGAGAGCGTTACGCTGTATTTACGGCGACTAGAAAGTTTGATTAAAGGAAGTGCATTGAAACGCTAGCCAAGACTCTCGCCTGCCGTCGAAGGACCCCAACATTCCCTCGAGTTCACCAAGCATCGCACATGCCACCTCATAGAGGTCCCTTGCGTCCTGGGTTTGCTCATTCAAGCGATTCCAATCTCCATTCAGCCCTCTCATATCAGCTGCATCCACACCCGGCAGATCCTGTAGCAACTCCGCAGCCTCGACCAAGCAGTCCTTTCCTGCATCTAGCTGCCTCTGGTATAACTAGATCTCACCCATGCGCATCAGTGCACGAGCAACCATGGTCGGGGCATTAATGGACTCGGCGAGATCCTGTGTTTGCTTAGAAAAATACTTGACTTCGCGGGAAGAACCACGAGTGAAGTAGGCATGAGTGAGAGTCAATAGGGTTGAAAGCAGTCCTTCAACCATTCGACACTCTATGACGTCCATAAGACATTTCCGACTAAATAATTTCGAGTGGTCGTTGGACCGAGTATCGCTGGAGGGTGACGATTCTGGAGGGGTAAGCCTCGAATGGATATGAATCATCGGTTGCCTTGGTGGGTTTGGAGGAAGGCTAGCTTAATGGAGAAAGCGTGTCCACGGTACGATTCCACAGTCGCAATGATTGCGACATGTACTCTAAAGCACCGCCTGCGTTGTTCTGATGGAATCGAATCAGAAAACGACATGTGATGAACGACCGAACTACAGACCCTAGATTATTGGACAGCTGCGGAGACTCTGCAAGCCATCGCTGCACGCTCGAGCCGTCCAATACGCAGCCTTATGCGCTCAGCGGTCGGTAGAGCTTTTTCTTCGGGCGGAGAAGCTTCCGACAAACACATGGCTTCACAGTAGAAGGAAGCACTGAAGAGCAAGATGTCCAGTCACAATAGAACACCCTTAGCGTAAAGTGATCTCACCTTTCAGGAATGCTGTTTTCAAGAGCCAAAATTTCCGCATATCTTAGCTAATAGCAAATAACTGAGACGTGCTTCGTCGGAAATATCACTCGATTTCAGGACTGCTGAACTTCGCGCAAAAATAGAATTAGCACGCTTCGGTTTGCCCAATTTAACATACTCCGACGCGAGATCAACGCATATAATGATGTATACTGTTCAAATAGCAACTTCTAGAAGACATGATACACTCACGATCAGTGGATGCGGCCCACGCTCTGGCCCCTCAAGACCGGAATATATTCCCAAGGAACGCCCTGTACATTGTGGTCCAGGACGAGGAACATGTGGGGATCGTCTACCGGAGTTGAGTTTACCTTCCCTCGTTTGTTCTTGAAGGCGGCATGGCTTGAGCAAATGCGGAGTGTAGGCTGGAAGGGAGTCATTGGACGACCACCAAGCGAACAGCAGTTCTTAGATGCCCTCGCGCGGAAAGATTTAGTAGCGTGAGTGACTCTTGACTAATTGCTGCATCGAATCTTGATGATTTTAGGTACTTCGGACACGGCGGAGGAGAACAATACGTGCGGTCACACAAAATCCGTCATTTGCCGCGCTGTGCAACGACAATGCTGTGGGGGTGCTCCAGCGGGTTACTGAAGGAGATGGGTGATTTTGACAGAGTAGGCACCCCATTTAATTATATGCTTGCTGGATGGTACGTCGTAAGTTCATTTTATCCATGCTCCCTGCTCAACATCCATCGTGCATAGCCCTTTACTGGTGGCGAATCTTTGGGATGTAACTGACCGCGATATCGACAAGTTCTCACAAGCAGTTTTTGACTCCCTGAGATTGACTCCGACTCGTGGAGGAGAGTAGGGTATGTCAGCAGTCACCGCAATTGCACAAGCCCGAAAGGCATGCAAACTCAAGTATCTCACTGGGGCAGCACCAGTTGTATATGAGATTCCGTCCTACCTATAATAAACAATACGACGCACTTATGCACTCCATGCTCCATTTATATGTATTACAAGGTTGATGACGAGGGTGCAATATCAAGCTGGACATGAAGCCATTTCGCCCAGGCATGTATGACTGACTAGTTACAAGGATGCGTGACCATGGGGTTCAAATGGTAGCAAGAGAGCAATAAAACCAATGACGATGAAGATAGCTCCTGAAATTCAGATTGGCACAGATGTCGTGAGGTTCGCGTACAGAGCAATGATCAGGGCCTGTGCGGTAGATTAGAGAGTAGCAAGACGCACTGCCGTGAACAACAAATAAACCCACCATGACGCCAAATATCCTATTTGCAGCGGCCACGATCGCGTTACCAGTTCCACGATCTTTGGTAGGAAACAATTCGGGTGAAAGGGCATATAAGACGCCGTACATGACGTTGCTCGTGTAGCAATAACCACAATTCCAACCAAGGAGCGCATTGAATGTGCGTGCGGTGGCCCGGGAGATGGGCCTCGTACTCATCTTTGAGCCGAAGCAGCGTCACTATTATGTCTGCACTCTCAACGTCCACAACGAGCGTGGTTTTACCCTTAATTCTAGATATCAGTGTTGATTCAATGCGGGAGAAGCACGCTGAGCCAACCTTTCTAACCCTCCTGAGCACCTTATCTCCACCCTCCCCAAACAACATATTCCTAAGTACCGCTATCTGTGTACTTACACCTATCCTTGAAGATATGCCTATGCCCACATGTAATGCGACTTCATCAACAACGCTCGCATTTTCCACGTTCGCATGCGCAGCTCCAGGTGAGAATGCAGTAGATACGCCCTGCAGGAAGGTCCCGGAGGGCGCCGTGATGGCCGTTGTGACGCCATCGCGATAGGCTAACCTGCAATCCAAAAGGTTAATTCAAAAATGCAGGCCCAAGATGAAAAGAATACCCACAGCAAATTCTGACCACCAAACATGAGCCCGTCTTGTGCTCTCATGATCGTGTCGCCCAATATGACAGGGAGATCCCCATAGAGAGGGTTATAGACGCTTCCATCGTTCGTGCTCGGCTCATGCCTCATCCCCACCAGCCCCAGCGGCGCCAAAGCTCGTTAGTCCAGGTGTGATCGTGCCGCCCTCAAGGTCCACGATATCGACAGCCCCTTCTGCAAAATCCGAGCATTGATCAACACACACCGCTCGGCCATCTCCACGCCCACTGATCCCACCTTCTCAGAAATACGCGCCACCCCAGTCGAGCCTCCACCTCTCATGTAAAGCCTCGAGACGTTCACGAATAACGCCACTTTTACGTTCCGAGGTTCAAGATGGGGAGAATACCCTCATGCGCGACGGCTGCCACCTTCTCAGAATCGAAATCGGGCGTGCGTGGGGACGTGGTGGACCCCTTGGCGACCGGGAAGGAAGAGCTAAGGGATACCATCAATATAGACCCGAGTGGGCGTTGCAGCAAGTGAGAGTGGATGGGAGGACCAAATCACAGTATCTAGTTCCGATTAGACAATTAGACGGATCTTTCATATATTCAGACTGCGAGCATAACGTACCGGCATCATATCCTGCAATCCAACCGAAACCTAAGTTCTTAATCGAACTTATACAGTAGTCTCACATACCTGCTTTGAGCATTCCAATCTGATGGCCCATCCCCATGGCAGTAGCAGGAGTGAGCTTTCTCAGCTTGGTCTACCGTTTGTATAATACGCCGAGACTTGATGTGAACTGACCAGAGTTTGTGTTGTCAACACCAAGCACGATTATGAGTAATAGTCTGACTTAGCTGAAGAATGCGTACGTAGTGGGATGTCGAAACCACTCAGGCAGTTTGCTTACTGCTTTCAGATGCGACTAAGACATGGATGGACAAAGACATCGTGGCAGAAAGAATCGAGCAGTGCCATGAATTAGTCAAAGGAACGGCAACGTAGCTCTATCGATTTGCAAGGTTGTGAGGATGTCCTAAACAATGAAGACCTAGTAACTGACCAAAGCAGAGTCAAGTGTTCAAGGGTGACTGTGACTGTGACTGTTGGATCTGAGATTGTATGCCTGGATTCTGGTGCCAGAGTCGGCGCTCCAGAGCACGTTTCATGACTGAATAGAAAGGGACAAGAATGGATGACTCCAGGTCAACTCCAGGTTATAGTGCACCCCGCGTTTTTGAGCCGGCCAAATTTTCTTCTTGTCCAGAAGAAGTGTCATGGATAGAAGTTCTTCAGCCACAACAAAGCAGTACACGGAACGGTCTCCTCCAGAAAGGCGCTTCTAGTGTTCAATTGACCTGCAGCGAGAGAGGGCGGATGCAATGAGACTACGGTTTCAGTTCTTGGCTGTGCCACCGAGGTAAGTTCGAAATATGCGACCACCACTGACAAAGATATTGCCTGGATTCATATCTCGATGAAGAACGTCTTGCTCCACGAGTCTTTGATGTCCTGAAAATGTGATGATTTAGGAAGGTGATCGCCGCACTAACTGAATGATGATGAACCTCTGAGTGCAGCGAGAGACCCTAAAATGAAATCTTGTGTCAGCGTCGCACAAAGGTCGTCCCACAGTTTTCAGCGCGAGACGATAGAGGACGGGATCATCGGGAACGCCAGTGTTACCATTGAGAATGAGAGAACGGAGGATGCCGACCGTAACGCGAGTAGTATGGGTCTTCCTTCCTAAAGGAATGCAGACACCATCCCCAAGACTGAGTTCAGCAACGCCTGGTAAAGATGGCTTGATATGCCAATAAGCATTGGATTCGCTTTCACGAGTTCGTGACCTCCATAAGGTTTTCAAATTTACGACTTCGTTCTTCTTTGACTTGTTCTCAGCCAATACGGCTTGCTACGTAGCTGTACTGCAACCCAGCAAAAATAAAGAAAACTATATGGGTGGACCCTCAGTCTTCCACAGACGCGTATCACCAGCTGCACCCATGCCAACTAGGAAGGAGGGATACTCGAGCTGGTAGTACGAACGTCCTTCAAGCAAGCGAGTTGACCTGTCGTGTGTTTATTTATATCTTGTCATATCTGCTGTACTAATATGTTATGATATGAAGTCAGTCAACACATCGGTTGACCAATTCCGTTCGGATATGTTTCTGAGCTCTTTGGCTGAGTCTAGTAGGTATAGTGTGCATTACCAACCATAAAGAACTCATTATTTGTGTGCAGCGATCGCACTACTGATGGGCATGACAAGCGACCGAGCGGTATCGCTTACACCTTCGACTCAAGATATCTTGAGTACTCTGGACCAAGCAGAGAAACTATTTTGGGCTGACCTTGAACTTGGGGGAACGTCCCCCATATCCGCGAAGCGACTATAAACCTTGCATTCATGAAAACACTTTAGACATCCCTTGGAAAAGAGGAAAAGGATTGCTGCGCGCCTTCTTGCAATTTACCTGATGGAGCCTATCTTGACGCTGGACTAGATGCGTCATCTGCAATTACTCTACGCCGTGAAATGCTAGAGGCTATCAAGTATAAATTCCCCAGCGTGCAATTCGACGACCTTGAATGGCCTCTTATGACGCCCAGCGGTTCCCCGCTGCCTCGGAAGAGACCATCTAATCTTCGGTATTTGAGAACCTCCAGCACTGAGGAAGCATTTGACGATGACGATGACTCAAGCTCAAGCATGAAGGCGTACTGAGATTCCATTCGTAAGACGTACGCAGAGCAATCTTTAGACACTTCCTTGCTATCGAATACGGCCATGTCACAGTTCCCGCCTCATTGGACCGTCGTCTATGTCAGCCTCACACCTGACAAGAGTACCCTCTTGATCTCTCGGCAGAACATTTCTTCCGAGCCGTTGATGTTCTGTGTGCCTCTCAAAGGCCGCCGCAAATCGGACGGAGAGGGACACCTCATGTTTGACGATGCGGTAAAGGAGCTCGCTGAAATAATCCGCTCAAGCAACCAAGGGACACGCAACGCGGTCAACGTACCTAACAGTTGCCCAAAGGCCCAATAACATCGCACCGTCTAAAAGCCTACAACCGACAAGCAGAAATCGCTTTCTCGAAATACGAAAGGTTGTTGACTGTATCGAGGATAATTGGTCAAGCATGCCATGACCAGACAGCCTTTGGCGAAGAAAAGATGCCAGAGACCCTCCAATGACTCAGGTGGAACTGGCGGGTGCCCATGTGTGCTCTTCGAACGCATATACCCACCCTTTCGATTCCTGTTAAAAAAATCAAGCCTGTTTATGAATGATAACAATACCACTTACACGTATGGCCTTGGGAGACAAAAAAATTGGCGTGGGGAGGCTCCATAAAAATGATGATAGTACAGAGGGAGACGACATTGTAGTAGTAAGAAGATAAGATGAAAATGACTAAGTCGTACGACTCAAATACAATGTTAATGACGATGTCATGCCACACCATCACACATTGTGTGAGAGTTCTGCAAATACAATGCAATGTGCGCGCGATACGATGCGAAGCTTCGAAGGATCGGAAGAAACGATGCAAAACGACAAACTGTAATGTAAGGACGATGCAAAGTGACGCAAGGAACGACGCTAAACAATGTGGCTACAATTTGCTTTTCATAATCTACCCTATTTCACCCTATCAACGACGTTACAATCAGAAAATAATCAGATCCCATCGTGCCACGCCATAGTGGGTTTTCACTGGGAGCGCCGAGTTCCGATTCGCGGCTGTTGCTCAAGCGCTCACTCTCCGGTAGGCTCCGAATCGGCACCTGCCCTTTCAATGATCTTACTTATAGAAATGACCTCTGATATAATGACGCTAACACCTGCTGCAAAATGGAAAGGCTTGAAGGCGAACTGGCGAGGAAGAAAGTCAACATATTCACTGACATCCACCAGAGAATGAAAGAGCGTCCCTTCTCTCTTCAGTCCAGCAAAAGTCGAAGCCATGAAGGCCTCCAATCCTCCTCCGCCCCAAGCTCTGTATTATCCCAACCAGAGCAAAGCAAGTCCATGAGCAGCAAAATAAAGCCTGCCGTGCTACATCCTAACATCACAAATCTGAAGCCAGACACCCCTAGTAGCAATGACGTTCCATATCACCCAAATTCCCCCCCGAAAACATTGCCCGATATCACAAGGAAGGAGGAGTCGCAAGAAGGAGATACTACTGGAAGCTTGCGTGCACCAACACTTCATCAGGACGAGGACCATGAAGTTGCCATAAACTATCACAACAATGCGCGGATCAACGTCACCCTTAGACCATTCCCCATGGATTTGCGGGATCTCAAGACGGCATATCATTCTGGTGTTCATTCCTCTTCTAAGAGCATGGAGTTCAAGCGAGTCTTGGATCATAGCGATGGAGAATGCGGGCGAAATGTTAAGAGGCCCAAGGAAGACGATCCAAAGTAAATCCTCTTACCATCCCTGCTGTTCCCGAATCCCACCTCATAGTTTCAGCAGAAATTCGACAAAGCTGACCCTGGGAGATGAGGACTCTCGTATGTCGTCTTTTCATCATGCATATCCCTATTTAACGCCTCTACGCACAGTTGAAATAGATCAAGTAGTTGATCCGTCTATGTTGTGCCCATATTGTGATGAACCACTTCCATGTAATCCAACGTCACAACTGAATGATCTCTTGGCCACTGCGAAGAAGCAATCTTACGGAGACCCGCGTCCTCAAAATCCTTTTGGACTTAAGGCTCCTCTAGCAATTTATATCTCAGCCTGTCAGCGGCATCACTTCGAAACGCATTGGTTGCCTGAGGCTCTGGAGAAGGGATGGCCGCAAAGCATTGACTTCAAGGAGGTGCCCAAGAGAGTCAAGAGCATGAAGAGTGCGCTTGAAGATTTAATCACCGATGCTGACGGCTGCAGTGATAATGAGAGTTCGGTATATGATGATACCCGGAGTCCCCGAGCCCGATGTATCTTCTGGAGAGAACTCAAGAAGGACATCCAGAGACAAGGTAGTCGAACTACCACCGGTATGAAGGGCCAGTTTTCCACCTTCGAGAAGACTCAACCTGGATAGTAAGTGCATCCGATTCTCGTTGGTATATCCCTACTAAATGACGTTTTAGCTATGGTGAACTTGGCTTATCGATCATACACCAAACGCTTTACAATCTATTTCCATTTTCATCATTTGATACTTCTTTGATAGCTCCTCTCTCACCTGCGGAGTTTGTTCAATTTGTATTGATTCCCGAAGTTGCAGTACGGCTCATCATGCAAGACCTTCATCTTGACAGGGACGAAGCAATCATGACGCTACGTGAAAGTTCGCAGTATGGTGTTAGCATGTTCCCTGATGTTGGCTCTGGTAGTGCTGTTTTTGATGATGATGATGATGATGATGATGATGATGATGATGATGATGATGATGATGATGATGATGATAGCAACTATGAGAGCGTTGCAGATCGCATCGTTATGGAACGTGCCAAAGCTAGGAGGTTGGAGCTCCAGGAAGAGGAGAGGATCGAGGAGAGGATGTAGAAAGAATAACAGGCGGAGCTCAGGCTGAGAGGAAAATGACAGCACACCAGCTGGCAAAGCAGAGTAAATCGAGGAATTTGTAGCACGGCGGCCTATCTCCTGTGATGTCAATATGAAGCGAGCGAGCGATAAATTCGTCGCCGGACACAACTTTCCAAAGCATTACAATTTGCAGAATGGTAGCGGCCCGCAGTAATTTCCCAAAAAGTTTCCGTACTTATCCTGTCCCTCCGGAGTATGCTACAGTTGGAACTGCCGCATCTCAATGTCTTGTCAAATGTTGATTTAATAACTCAATCGGAGACCTGGGTGCGACGCCACTTTGTAGATTCCAATCTCAATTTTTACATGGAGGTTCCTATTTGGAGAAGTTAGAACGCACTAAACACTTCTATGACGCTCCAAAGCGAACTTTAATAATTGCGCGATACACACCATGAAGTGCGCGATACGCTTTGTGTTGAAGAATTTTTTTCGCTACTTCTAGTAAAATAGACGGCCGAAATCTTCGAAGCTGGGTTCTACAATCAGGTAATTGTCAGCTGTACAAGCAATGAGCTTTCGCTCATGATCGAAAGTACTTTGGGCTTTCACAACGAATAGAATAACCACCTGGCATTGGAGTCTACTCCTCCTCAGATCTCTTGTGCTTCGTGCGAGTTTCTGCATGCACTAGTGGTGGCCAGGTCCAGTTCTGACTCAACTGCGGTTTGAACCGGACAGTCTGATTCAAAGTGCCGAATCAGGGGGAATTGGAACTGAACTGTTCGTGATGTTGTTCTGACGTTCGCGGCCTCCATAGTTCAAAGATTTGCGGGATTCTTGAACCTCAGGCTGTTCCGAACCTCTTCGAAATGATTGCTGTGCACGTGCCTCAGGTACAACTGGAAGAATGTCCGTCATCAGAAAGGACCTAGCTGGTCCAACTTAGAGTCAAGTAAGTTTACTCTGCGGGACTTGCTGGGACTGACCCCGATTTCCCGACTTCGAGCGTTGTTCAAGGTAAATTTAGCTTAGGCTTCGTATCTTATATCGTTGGAAGATTTGGCGTTCTCTGCGTGGTATCCACGATCCTGATATCGATAGCCCATTCGTCCCACGTCGTATTAATTCCTGGTCTCATGATTATTTTATCAACAACACGAATATTGCCGTCTGATCTCTAGTCGTGCTCTACTTAGTCTCTTTTTTCTAGTAATCATTATGGAACTTCGATGGCTCATACCTCCTACCCTAACGAAACTCTTCCTGCTGTCATACAATTTAATACTATTGAAAAGTTAAAGTTTTGGAGCACGACACTTGTGGGCTATGTTTTACACTTTGATGTGTTGTGTCGCGCACTCAATGGTATATCGCGCAATTATTAAAGTTCGCTTTGCAGCGTCATATCTGTCAGGGTAGCGCGAGCGTGTTTCAATGACGTCTACGTCAGCAAAAGCTTTGAAATAACTTTCACAGTCTTCAAATCAGGATCGACCTCAATATTAATGGAGGGAGCTGATATCTAACACAGCGCTAATAACCTCAATTTTTGACACGCATTCTGCTAGCTTGGATCCTCCTCTCGGCACTCGGTGCGACATTCCAGCCCAAACTTCGAATTTAATTGTCATTGGCATTGTGCGGTGGATCGGATATATATGTAGGCGCCATAAGATCAATCAGCACCAACAGAAGGCACTTCTACTGGAGGACTGCATCTGCAAAACCACTGAAATGAACGCTTGATATAAGCGCGTTACGGACACTTACGAATGCTTACGACTTCAGTAGCGCACTCATGCAATTGGTTGAAATGCCTTTCAGTGTTATTTTATTTCGTCGTTCTCTACATCATCTGTCTCTAAGTAGTTTACAATCTAATATTCACTGTTTCTCGCACATGTTTTCGTGGTCGCAAACTGTGATTGCAAGGAGCCGTCGAGACGACTTGGGTGTATAACGACGAAAAAGGTGCGTGAGCCGATCGTGGCCACATTTGGTTCCCAGAAAGCTCCTCAAAGGCTCGTTTCTGTATTTTGGGTTTTCAGATGTAGCTTCAATCTTAGTTCTAGCTAGACTCGTATACGTAACCGGTCTGACTATACTGCGTCAATTTGAGATAGTGAGAATTTATATATGACGTAGTCAGACTAGTCGATCTCGGAGTGATTTGGCAGGCGAAGCGAGGAGCTTGAAATCTGGCAGATGCCGGTATGCCGCTTTGGGTATCATTTTAGTTCGCACAGTACATCACGCCGGAGCACTCAGGCTAATCATTGATTAGGGCAACACGTCTCGAGAAGTAATGACATGAGGCATCTGAGACGAAACAATTTCGGACGTTGATCCTTGGGAAAGAAAATCGGGTCGCGAGAAAGCCTCGAGAACTTGCTGGTGTTGTGTCGTTGAGAGGGCACTCGTAAAGTCCGTTGGGAAATTCTTAATTGTATCTCGAGCAGCGAGCGATAAAGGTCGTAAAAAAATCATTGTTGCAATATTGTTGAAACTTAACATAGCGTACGTTGCATCTCTTTCGCAGCTCTCACCGTACAATCTGAGCGAGAGCAAACGTGCTATATCATCGGAAACTACCTTCGGCACGACCGTCACCTATCAGATTTCAAACTCCTCGCTCCGCCCTGCCACGCCACTCCGAGATCGACCAGCCTGGCTACACCACTCGTTCATCCGTGGTAGTATACGTCAGGCTGGTCACGAGCCTAGATAGAAGCCAGAATGCTGGAATTCACTTTTTGTCCGTAGCGATCGGCCCGGGAGGCCTTACTCTCCCCCTTCCTTGTCATGCCTAAAAGGAACATAGCGCAAAGTTTGGATTTCTATTAGCGCCGCGCGAATTAGACATTGATGAAACTATCAAGAAAATCAGCAGGAGGAAAGCATCTTCTTGGCTAGATCTATAACTACCCGCCTTGAAAATCTCATCCTAGACATGGGTGAGCTCCGGGACGCGACTAGTACTGCACATGACACAGCCTAGATCTCGCTTGAACCCATTGACCCATTTATGGGTTTCTAGCTGTTTTGCTCAAGCCGCTCCGGGTCGTACAGTTATCCACATGTGGTAAGCTTGTTCTGTATTATTTTCTGTGCGGAACCACCTATACATATTCAGGCTTTCCGCTTAAATATATGACAGTTGAATCACTTCAAATTCCCCCCGGTCCAATTTTTTATCCCCCATGGACTACTTGGTTCCCCAATCATGTTATGTTGGTAAACTTCCCGTGGAAACCCTTTCTCAAATATTTATGCTAGCTGCACATGGTGCACCCAGCGAATCGCTTCAAAGTGTCGCAATGCCACATGTACTTGCATCTGTGAATCTGCACTGGAGAACAGTAGCGCTCTGCAATCACAGCTTGTGGTCAAGTCTTGTTATTGATCTTCAGAAGGTCATCCGCAAGCAAACCAGTGGGGGCTTGACACCATTAACCACAATGATCGCAAGATCAGGACGGTCCTCCGTGGATATTATTATCAGAGCTCAACAAGGACCAATGTCAGGTACTGAGGAAAGGATGTAAGACACATATTGATTTAGCTTAGTACGGCTGTTCTAAATGTTTGCCTTTAGGAGAAAAAAACACGACTTTACTAGAACAAGGTCCGAGTATGCCGACAGTATGCCCGCTATTCTCAACCTTTTATTGCCTGAGACGTATCGATGGCGTTCACTCGAAATCATCAGTGACACTTGGATGCCAATTTATAGCGCCCTCCAACTTCTCAATGAATACAGGACAGAGAGCTCAAGCGCTCTACGCCTTGAGTCCATAAAGCTCAAGAGAACCAACGACTACATTTCTCGCTACTGGCTCTTCTGTCCAAGCATAATGAAGATGGTAGAAGGGACCATGTTCGCTGCATTGATTGGAGCTACAAATCGAGATGGAGTCCCAGTGCAATCCCCCCCTCTTCCAAAACTGCGAAATATAACTCTATATGGCGTTCACTTGAACTGGACAAATTTCCTTCGCTATACTCTCGGCGCAACCCCTAATCAGTCACCTACTATCAGTAACTCTATCCAGGTGCTGGAGCTCTCCCATCACAGCGGAGAAGTCAGGCCAACGTCTGATGAGTTTTCAGGGATCCTTGCAGCTTGTCCTCGCCTGAAAAAACTTGTGCTTAGGGTCTCTGGCCCGCTAACTGGACTTTCAGGCCACGTATCACTTCCACAGCTTCAGGAGCTTCACTACGGACACTGTTGTATTGGAGATGACGTCGGGCTATTTAGTGGGCTTCATGCCCCCAATCTTGTCAAACTCTCTTTAGAGGGTCGAAATCTATCTGGTACCACATATTCGCCCAGCCAGGATGACGGTGAAGATGACAAAGCTGATGACCTTCTGGAATACTGTACAACTCATGCCTTGTTTCCAAAACTGCAGGAGTTGTCGCTCTACAACATCAACGTACCAGTAAAAACATTCGCTCTCCTCTTCGACACTATTCCCACACTCCTTCATCTGTTGCTGCATCGCACACCAAATGCACTCCCGGCTCTGTTACCCATCCAGAAGCTTTCGGCAGGTGCTGGTATACCCTGCCCCGCCCTTGAATCCATCCGCATCTTCCCAAATTCCCATAAGGACAGCCTTATTGTTACACTGAAGGGCCGCAGAAGTGCCTCCCGATTGGCTGACTCGGAGTGGCTATGGGAAGAGATGTTGGAGGGTGGAATAATCGCGTTTTCCCCTTGTTCAAAAGTTGCCTAGTCAACGCCGTAGTATCAGGACGTGCTTTGATCATAAATAATACGTCCTGAGCATGGTGGAAGTGACGATTTTAGGGGAAGCTTACGTGTCAAGTTTTATGTATACACTTTATAGGGGTTCCGTATAGTTAGTCCGCTATGCCACCTTGCAGGTCATATGGAATGCGACATGTGCCAATAATAATGCCCCTATGGCCTCTATAGAGGAAAAACCCTTATCGCGCTTTCGTAAATCGTATCATGGCCTTTGTGAGTCCTTTGAAATACGGAGTGCACTTCTTATAACCATCCTTTAGAAACATAGCGGGACCGTAGATTTGCATTGAAGAGACCGCCATTATAGCTCTTCTGAGATGTAATACGAACACTGCATTCGTAATAAATACTCGTAAATCAGAATAATCACGGGTATTACGCACCAGGCACGCTGACCGCCTGCAGCAACAGTGCTGGTTGAATCAACTGCAAGGATAAACGAGTTGTCGCAGTCATCGACATACGCAAGTCTCTTAGACTGCGCGTCCTACTGGCCTGGGCAGATGACATTTACACCAGTCGGGTCCGGGCCGATGACGAAAATCCAGTCACTGGATGGCGGAAGACGATTAGCCAAGACACAAGTTGAAACTAGATAAGTGATACGTCCTTGAAGAAATCTCCCCTCTATAAAAGTCTCGTATCATGTAGGTTTTGCCGATAAGTTGTTTGTGAGCAGCAGTGCGGTAATGATGCGAGTACCAGCGGTGGCTACCATCAACCAGGACGGTAAAATGAGAGAGCCGCTAGAAACAACTTAGGGAGAGTGCATAGGATTGAAGCAAAAGAGGAGGAAAACCCATGCAAATTCGGTGGTTGAACCATACTAGTAGGGTCGTGGTTGAAAAACATTCACGACTCGAAGGCTTCTTGCACTGGACTGCCATCGACAACGTCATTATATCTCGGCCCGCTCAATTTCAATTTTTTCCTGTGCTGTCGGTCATCCCCTCTTGCCGATGAGTCTGCAGCTTCATAGCTCAATCATAGCTTGCGGTAGTAAAGCTGTAAATAAGTGGAGTCAAAACAAAGCATTACTGAAACTGAGCTAGCTGAAGAGTATACCTGGAGCTCTATCACTGTGGCGCCGTAGTAAGGTTGAAGTCGCTCAAATTGTCTAAGGCGGTTTGCACATCTCCAGCCTAGTCTAAACTGACCCAAGACACAATCAGGCCGCCGCTGCCTATCAGGTCTAGGTGGCGGTAGTACGTTCACATATTGTAGTGCGATTCGAAAAGAATCAACTACCACGGATGGGGTAAGAAATGAATTGCTCTGCGTTTGATCATCAGTCCATTCACCATTGACTTGTTTCTTAGAAATATGTTGTCAAACGGTACGTACTAGTGTATCCGAGCGCACAAAGGTGGGGCGACTTTAGTGACTGTCGAGAATTGCATGAAGCAAGCAGCACAAAGAACATATCTCCGCGGAACCTTGTTCGTTGACAAAGCACGTATGGTGTATGGTCGATTGCCGGCACCTGGCATGCTTAGAAGGAGTCGAACAGATGTTGGCAATTGTCGACTTGTGATTGTATAGTAGTACGATGCGAGGCAAAGGACAGGAAAGCAGTGATTCAAAGGATTGCCTAGTGGTAGTCAGCGGGTAACGCGATCCATGCTTATGAGGTCCGATTCTTAGACTCGTGGTTGACCATCGAATTCTGAAAAGACATTCACTGAATTCACGAACCTCGTTACCAGCCGACCTTGACGCCTTCGCATATGACCCAACTCGGTCCTAGGCCTGACAAATTGTCCTCGATACAGTCAACAACCCTTCGTATTTCGAGAAAGCGATTTCTGCTTGTCGGTTGTAGGCTTTTAGACGGTGCGACGTTGGGAAGTGCTTGCGATGAACTTTGAAGCTGGTCCCTGGTCATATCTTGGCCACAAGATTCTTCATGCGTGCTAGCGACAAGAGACTGATTGTGACACGTTGTCGATGTGAAAGATGATTTTGAAATTTCGTTAGAGACCGAACTCGACTTCTGCAAGTTGTCGACTGCTTTTTCCATGGATGACGGTGAATTTGAACTATTTTGCGCCAAGGACAGACAGACGTGGACCGATGAGGTTGTTTCAGGCTCGTCACTACAAGAGAATGACTGGGCAGATCGATACCCTTTGCTCTCAGTCGAGCAATCATGGTTCAAGGTCTGCACAAGATGAAGTGAACCTGGTCAACACCGGAAGACGGGTGCTCGCATCCGGACTGTATGAAATCGACTCCCACATTCTGCGGGATACGCGGATCACTGAAAAAGGTTGATTCCAATATCAAACGCTTAAATGGTGTATCACTTACGAAGCGGGTAGCGTGGTCATCTGGGACGGGGGCAGCGCAGGGAAATTGGTGTCTTCATCTGTTTGCGTAGTAGTTTTCGATACCGCAGTCTTCGACGTGGATCGCTCGACAGAATGGGAATGGGATATCATAAGCTCGCTTCCCGTCTCCGGTTCACGACGGCCTCTACTTTCTACAGTCTGTTCTGCCTGTTCGTTGCTGTCAGATTTTGGAGAGCTGGATAGCCTTAGTTGAGGACAAAATAAGCAGAATAGGGACTACACACGGAAAGTGTTGATCGGGTTGACCTGTCACTACATCTGAACAACGAGATCCTTCGGATATAGTGACTAGAGAACTCTTAACTCCATTCTCAATCGAGCGATAGCTCGAGGTCTGCACGAAAGTTGTTAAAGCCACGTTGATCTCTGAGAACTGACGCTCGCGTGCAGATCGGATGCGACCGAGTTCCGCGCCCTGTGCAATACCTGGTTCGCTGCAAAAGCTGTATTGTTAAGAGCTCATTCTTGAACGAGATTGTTACTTACGACAGAGATAAGACATTGGTGTTAGTGTTCGATACCATGACATTCTCGGATTGCCCGAGACTCTCGACGGCACTAGAATAAGACTTCGTTTGAAGCGTGACCTCACACTGTTCGCCTGCCGTGCGTGATACTCTCCTCCGCCCTCCAAATATTGGCGCATACAATCTGCCGATTCAAGCGCTCGTTCGTGCTCGACCTAAACATTTGGAGTTCTGGATGATGTTAGTGGGGCGAAGACGGTGTAGGAAGTACGTACGAGGACCCTTGAGTAGCACCTATCATTCGACCATAGGATCAGCCTTTCAGATCAATTACTGGGGAAGAAGTCTGACCCATAATCTAAAACGGTGCTTCCTTGGGTGCCTGCCCAAGTGCCACGAGAGAAAGCTGTAGTAGTGGCGAATCACTCGACATTTTGTGAGAGGAAAATGAGCTATGCGTGGAGGTAGCTTGAGAGTCGTCCTTCAGCGAGGGACGAGAACTATTAACGAACCGAGGATTAATGGTATTGCTTGCCGAAGTCGAAAAGAACTGTCTTGTGGTGATCTACTAGTACAGGCGTGGAAGCAGTGATACCAGCGTTTGGATGTCTTCGAAGCGGCAAGACATCCTGGACAAAACCCGCATGTGCCGATTGAGCTGGAGGTTCAGGCGGTAGACTGCTATATTCGCTCCGGTGATCGACATTGACCGCCTCGCGAAACCCTGTGATTTTGGATCCACCGAACGAACGGACCGGAGTGCGTTGCTCGCTTGCAGAGTATTCAGCAGCGCTAACCACGCTGTAAAAATCCTTTGTTGATTGAAAAACATCCCTCAGTTAATAACGTCACCTTACGTAGAGAGCCCGTCAGATTCTTGAATGGCGCAATCTAGACGAACTCGAGGTTTCGATGATGCTACCGCATTTGGACGGGACACCGGCGCATACTCAGGTTTACCAGTGGCGGAAGTCATGGCCGTAGTGACACTACCACTTTGCGCAAAGTCACGGCGAAAAGTACCCAGTTCCGCCCTGGCATCAAGGTTTGACTCGTCTGCGAGATTATGGGCGTTTTCAGAAATATCCTGACGATAAATGAGCGTTCGTTCGGTATCGAATTTGATGTCATGTCTTGTGATCACGGTGTCCTGACGCATAAAGCCTGCCCCAGAAGAATGTGGGATCTCCCAACTCAGCCGTCCGGCGCACACGAGTACATCATACCGGGTCACCTAGGTCATATATGCTCAGCAGGACGACGACCAAAGAGATCGTGATTAATACCATTATATCCTGAATTCCATAGCTAACGATGGCACCGCCAGTGAGCTGAGGACCAGCCTTACCTAGAACTGTCGCTGGTGACATTAATGAGCACGATGATGCCTGATGGAACAGAACTACAAAATGTTCCCTGTATTCATGAGTCGCAATTTATAGTGTAATTGCATGAGAAGACTTACTTCTAGATGAGCTCTGGCAATGAAAAGAGGACCACGACCATCCGATGTAAATGGAACAGCATGAGGCGGGATAATGTTGTCCCGGACTTCAACCTGTACCAATATTAATGTTCGATTTTGTGCGCCAGATGAAACGTGAATAATCACTCGCCCAAACTAAAGGCAGTGATGAAGCTTCCTTATCACCATCCGATCTGACACTGATTGTTTGGGATACCAGCTGGCATTTCAACTTCTGTCGGTGCTTCGAGCCAGGTCTGCGATGGAACTCTGAAGAACGGTCAGCATCAGGCGTGACTGGAGGCGATCCCTTCCGATACTAGGCGGGAAAGGTCTGAAAAGCATCACGATATGAATGCAACATTTCGAACGGATGTAATGGAAAGAAAAAAAAACTTTGGAGCTGCGAATTGATATGGACTTGGTTCGTGTTGAAAATTTTTAAAGTGCAAATCAACTTGAGCTCTATCACGGTGTAAACACTGAATCAGACCTTCAGAAATGTTGTATGTCACAGGTTGTTGCATTACGCCCGACCAGCCGCTGACGAGGTGGAAGATGGACTGATAGACCGGTGGAGACAGTTGAAATGTATATTTTTACGGAGGGTAGGAACCAGTTGGCTGGAGGATCAACACCTCGTCGCAAAGTGAGTTCAGGGTGAGGTCCTAATCTCTCCCAGTCAAACCTTGATGATGGAATGGAGAAAGACATTGCTAATTCTATATCGTGAGGTCCAGGCCCCAGGGAATTCGAAGCAAGCATGGTATTTGGCCCGCAATTCGTCGTTCAAGGACTGGATGATTCGACTCGATTCTGAATATTTCCAGAGTTTGATCTTGGCAAATTTGAGTTTTGAGCGTTTGTATAGCCTGGGGGACAAACTTCATGCCTCGAGAGTCACGGCGGTAATTCAAATCTCTAAAATTACATAATTTAGCGCAACCCTCTTGCAATTGGACTCATCCATGAGATATTTTTTGTCAAAGCACGCGACTCGGAGCAACATTTTCATGATGAAACCAGATTAACACGCTCAGACCTTGCAATATTCAATATCTTGTGGCCGGTTGGCTAGAAATTCAACACCTCGCTGCATCCTCATTGCAACGTCAGAGGGCTCGAGGCACTTTAATCTCGGATCGACGACGAGCCCTACAACAATCCCACATGTTGGGTGCTCTTCGATAATCCCTTACTATTTTCGTACGTGCGCTATGTCATGATCCTGATCATATTCACCTTCTTAATACCACGCGTCATGGCGGCTTCTTGATTTCTTTACCATACCATGTGCTACCTCTGCACGACGATCCTCCAGGCTACCTTGGCTAACCACTTACAGTACATAAGCACCAAGTTCAAAGGCCCTCTCGCATCTTCCGAACATCTCAATACTGTCTTGACACTACTGAGGTATGTTCGTCATCGTGTTGCACCTGTTTCCATCACTGACGTGCTCCGCTAGTGTATACCACGCGTACATCGCACTTGGACTCATCTGGACCACAACGTTGATAAGCCAGGCTAATCACGAGCCTACATTGCACTGGCAGTGATCTAAGTTGAAGTAATCATTGACGTCTTCGCGGCTCGAAGCACATGAATTTGTAAGTTTTCACCAACTTAGAACCAGGATGTTAATGACAAATATTTCAGGCATCGCACCGTCAATGCGTTGGTTCAGAAAATGCATGTGCAACCGCCGCGTCCTCGTCCGCAATCTGACACTTTAAACGCACCACCGGCGGGGACATCCACTATTGTTGGAGAAACCACTACAACAACCTTGCGGTCTACATTCACAAGTATTCACGCCGTGACTGGCTTCGTCGCGAGATGCTCTTTGCAAATCACTTACCTTGCTATCCTCGCCATGGGCTTTCCACATCTACATCGCACTCGATGATAAACCCTGCTGCCTCTTGTTGATTCCGTGTCTCCGTTCTGAGACTGCATCTGTTTGGACCGCATGTGATGCTATATGTCGTTGGTATATCCTCAGCATGGCTTCTGTCACCTTACATGTTCCCGCACTTCAGTTAGTTCATCGAGTCATGATAGACCATAGGAGTCATCCTCGAGGAATGAGCATCCGACATTTAATATCAGACACACCTTGAGCTCACAACGTAGCCATCTCAAACGGCGGCCACCAAGATATCAAATTATACGAGTATCGACGACATTTTTTTTTGTGACTGTTCTACAGATACAGTTCCACGAAATTCGAGATGAATGTGAGTCTACCATCGCTATTTTTCACTCCTGAACTAAGCAAGCTGCGCAGTGTGACAACTGGAACTTCCTTATGGAGCTGGGTCGGAACTGGAGCTGGGCTATGACTTGTTTCAGGACTCTTTTGCGCCTCTTGCGTTGCTAGACGAAACCGACCCCGGTCCATTCGTTCAAATCGAAGTTTGACTCCAGTCCTGTTGAGAGTGTCATGGTATCAAACGCTGGTAGCCGATCAGATGAGGACGCTGACAGCAATATCTCATCACTGTCATCAACTTATGCTGAGCGTCAGCTGTCTCTTTCGTAAGCGATAACATCGTTCAAGTTTAAGCTTCTAACAATAAACCTTTTACAGCGAACCGGGCGTTCCACAGGATGCAGAAATCAATCGCACTCAGTCTGCAAGCGAGCGCCAGTCCTCAGATATCAACGTAGCTTCAACGACTTTCGTGCAAACTTCAAGCCAACGCTCTATCGAGAACGGAGTTCATAGTTCCCCTAGTCACTATACAAGAAGGACTCTGTTGTCAATATGGGGCGGTAGATCAGCCTTGTCGACGCTTTCCGTATGTGGTCCATCTGCTGTTAATTTTGTGCTCGACTGAGGCGATCCAGCGCTCCGAAACTTGATGGCAACGAACTAGCAGAGTGTGTGCACCGACCGATGAAAGCTGAAGGAACACGAAGACATTAATCAATGCTCAAGCAATCGGCTCGTGATGCGTGGCACTTACCCCAGATAATGATTAAAATAGTAGTCGACCAAGCCATCTTTCGAGTGGCAAATAAGGATTTAACATGGTTATTGCTAAACATTCCCATCTTCATCTTCCTCTGCACGGCAGCCAAAGCAGATGTGTCGATACGAACGCCATCGTCGATCGTAGTCTCAGTCAGTTTCCCAGCCCTCTGGAGGTCTTCGAGGGTGAGGTTGCTCGTTTTCCCATTGTAGGCTGCGACTTTGTGGACGACCTCGATTGCGTGACACTTGTTCATCTCGGCCTCGACCCATCAGGTATTTTGGACTCTCGTATAGGTTGAAGAAGAAAAAGCGGATTATCCAGAGGAACATCATGAGCCCACCCATAGTAGCGAACAGGAAATACAGCCATCCTTCGTTCAAGGATCTTGGACAAGGAGAAAGGGGGATAGTAGTGGGACAATAGTAGTCGGCCATGCAACCTGAAGCAAGTTAGTGTGTGCCGTAAGCAGCAATCACGAGTTACCCAACAGTTGTCCAAAGGCCCGACAACGTCGCACCGTCTAAAAGCCTACAACCGACAAGCAGAAATCGCTTTCTCGAAATACGAAGGGTTGTTGACTGTATCGAGGACAATTTGTCAGGCCTAGGACCGAGTTGGGTCATATGCGAAGGCGTCAAGGTCGGCTGGTAACGAGGTTCGTGAATTCAGTGAATGTCTTTTCAGAATTCGATGGTCAACCACGAGTCTAAGAATCGGACCTCATAAGCATGGATCGCGTTACCCGCTGACTACCACTAGGCAATCCTTTGAATCACTGCTTTCCTGTCCTTTGCCTCGCATCGTACTACTATACAATCAAAGTCGAAGCGTGCCGGGTGCCGGCAATCGACCATACACCATCATTCAAAGTCCGCAATTATATGCGGCAATTGTAACGCCACATGTAGATTACATAATCTTTGTCTTTTCTTCTGAACTTCCATCATCGTCGTCGAACGCTTAGCGTTCGGCGTCAACGTACCAACAAACGCCTAGCGTTTGAGATTCGCCTCCGGCACGCAGTTGAACGCCTAGCGTTTCTAACTGAACGGATATTTTTACCGCCGTCGAACGCTTAGCGTTCGATGTCGAGACCGTCGAACATGAAGTGGACGTTGCATGTCGACTATCGTCGACTGCACGTTTCTCATGATCATATCATTGACTAGGAACACTATGAAATTGACTCGGACGTTGCATGCCTGACTATCGTCGACTGCACGTCCAGTTCTTTCAGTGTTCCGCGTCTTTGTTCTCAAAATTCCATTCGCTTTTACCTTTTACCTTCTATCTGGCGGGATAACCACCCATTAGGTGAATAATGGTGGTTCGTCTTTTCTTCTCAACCTCCATCGTCGTCGAACATGAAGTTGACGTTGCATGTCGACTATCGTCGACTGCACGTCTCTCACGACCGTTTCTTTGTTCCACTTTCCACATCCTTCTCTTTAAATTTCCTTACGTTTAATCCTTTGGACAACTGCTTTCCCTCATTTTCTTCTGCCTCACGAGGCACACACTCTGTAAGCTATTTCTGGCCGCACTTTTGTTGACCACCTTGGTTGGTGCTCACCATCCGTCGCATACGCACTCGCGTCACCGCCGTACTGCTGGCCATAGACAATCTACCAATAACATTTACACATTTCAAGACTTTTATCAGGGGGAGGATTTCATCAAGTAGGTACCGCTTGTCCATACTATGTGCAAATTCAACGCGGTTAATTAAACATCTAGTGATTGGGACTTTTCCACGGGTTCGGACCCCACCAGTGGCAATGTCAACTACCAAAGCAAATCGGAGGCACAGTCCAAGGGACTTGCATACGTCAATGACTGTAATAATTCGACAGTTCTTGCAGTAGATTCAATAAGCGCCGTTGCTCCCGGCGGCAATCGTGACTCGTGCGTAATGCTCGTGTTTATTATGATTTATGTGTATCCATCATGAGTTGTGGTGTCCGTATTATATCTTAGAAGAGCTACAATGGCGGTCTTTTTGTCTTTGACGCCTCGAACATGCCTGTCGGCTGTTCTACATGTCCCAGTTTCTGGATTGTTGGCCCGAACTGACCCTGAGCGGGTGAAATCGACATTGTCGAGGGCGCGAATAACCAGGCGACTAACCAAATGATTCTTCATAGTGGCACGAACCAAAGTTGTACTATCGCAAAGTCAGGTGTTAGTGCCGATCTGTTTACCGGCTGACTGTTACAGTACAGGTAATGCTGACGCAAGGTTTGTTTTGCATCTCTTTCTCATGCGTCAGCTGGGATCTAATGTGTCCTTGTGGCAGTTCTTTTGGATACGGCTTCAACAATGCGGGGGGCGGTGTCTTTGCGCTTCTGTGGGACACCTCTTCTGGCATGTCTGTGGCACTTTGCTCGTTCTGAAATCCCTGCAGATCTTACGGCGCAAACGCCCAACCCTTCTACTTGGGGCACTCCAGCTGGTTTCTGGTCTGCACATAGTTGTGACATTTCAGCCAATTTCTACGACCACCAGATGACGGAGTGTAACAACCCTAACTTTTTTCCTGGTCGGTATCCCGGAGCTAGGCTGAGTTTCCTGTTGTATGCTTCGTCTGTCGCTTTTCTGAAGTAGTGTGGCTGCTAGAAGCTGAGAAACTGAGAAGTTATATCTTTGAGCATCCGTAGAGTGCGATTCTGGCAAGACTAACTATCTTCGCCGATGCTGCGAAAAGCAAACATATTAATGTGAAATCGAGGCTTTACCAAAATAACAGTGGTACATAGTATAGTCAGCATAGAGACGCGAAATTTTGTGTATCATAGGAAAATGTTCTCTTCAATAGCGACGACTTCGAGCCAACGTCGAGTGACGTCGCTCGATTCCTTTTCGAGGCTGCGCTCATACTCATTCTCCATCTCTGATCCTTATCTTGGGATAAACATCTTCCAGTGATCTGGGTATCCCACAGGATGCAGAGGTCGATTTCATACGATGTGGACGCGAGCACCAGTCTTCCGGGGTCAAAACAGCTTCGACTGATCTTGTGCGGACCTCGAACCATAATTGCTCGACTACGAGCAAAGGGTATCGATCAGCCCAGTCATTCTATCGCAGTGACGAGCATGAATCAATCTCCTCTGCCCATGTCTCTGTCCTTGGCACAAAACAATTTAAATGCGCCGCAATACATGTACAAAGAAGTCGAGAACACGCAGAAGTCGAGTTCCGTCTTGAATGCAATTTTGGAGTCATCTTCCACATCGACGACATGTCAGAGTCATTCTCTTGTTGCTAGGACGCATGAAGAATATCGTGACCGAGATATGATCAAGGACCCGCCTAACGAGTGTTCATCGTACGTAGTTCCTATTATGCTGCGTCCATTCTCCACTAAGATTGTACAGCTCTCCGAAACACGAGGCTCACGAAGAGAGAGTAACAGTGGACTGCATGCACCAAGTTGTCATGGAGTCCAGATGCGAGTGCCGGTCTTTACATGTCAGCGAGATTTTAAAGACTCTCGAATCAAGGCACACCTGGGGTCATCGCTCGTCTGAGAGCAGTGAATAGCACACCGAACGCCAGTCAATTTATACACTCTTCTAGCGATAACTCAACCGATGACACGCTCAGCAGAGGTCACCAGCAAGTACATTCATCTTCACTGCCATACATGTACAAAGCAGTCGAGAACACGCAGAAGTCGAGTTCTGTCTTGAATGTAATTTCGGAGTCATCGACATTAGACACCGTGATAGGGAAAAACGATAGGTGGACGGATAAGGATGTCAGAGACACTGCGTTGCCTCTGTCCTCAACTACTACAAGGCCCAAGTTATCAATTCCGTAAGTAGTGCGCCGTCTGAACTTCTTGCACCAGAATAATCTCCTTACAGTGGGCCGGACATTCCACAGGATGCAGCGACGTCTTCACATTTTATTACGACCTTAACGACTTCCATGCGGACTTCGAGTTATATTGTCAATAGTGAATACGTTTGCCAACAGCTAGCCCGGACTTCCTCCTGTAATGATGGGCCGCTCGTCGACCAATCGCAAACAACTACCCTCGTCCACCCGCTCTCGTCACCTGGAGAAAACAATCCAATTGCGGCACAGCCTTCGATAGATTCATTCAAGAACACGCGGCAACTGAATCCAGCCCCCAACATTATTAGTCCGAATTCATCGTTACCTGAAGGCGTATATACGACAGCTTACGAATGCGAAGAACCCTGTGGTCGAGATGAGGTTAGAGACCTGCCTGGTCGAAGCTCTTCGTACGTTGTTTCTACTTCTACGTTGCGCTTGCCCTCGGTTGAGAATTGTCCAGTACGTCGAAACTCAAGGACGACAAAGGAGAAATATTGGTAGATTGTACATTCCAGGTTATAGAGGAGACAAGAAACTACAGATCCGACATGACTGGTGCACGGGAAAAGGAGAGCCAGGTATATGACAAGGTCGCTGTGTTGATCTCCTTACTGGACCCAGGGGACCTCCTTCGTGCGTCTCGTGTGTTTTGAAACTCACATCGGAATAAACTTCTCGCAGAGATTCCAGTGTCTCGCAGGATGCGGCAGTTGATTGTGTCCACTCCGAATGCGGACACCACTTTACAGAGGACACCGATGTCTCAGCTATGTCCAAGTACGCTTCGAGCAATTACTCGACTGACAACAGCAATGGATACGCATATTTGGACAACTCTTCGCAACAATCGAACAACCCTCCTGGCATGAAGAGCGTACCGCCGTGCGCGAGGGTCCCTGCCCAGCTCCTCCTGCGTTCTACCCGGTGCTACATGACTCTCTGAATTGTTCTTGCGTATCACATGTCATAATGTACGAATAAAAATTTGCTATATACAAAAACGTCCTGATTTTTTTTGCAGTGCATCCCCTGTTTCAATTAAGGATGACTCCAAGGCAGTGGGAATCAGTCACGTCGTCGAAAAATCGGTTTCGAGCGATGATAACCATTCTACACCATGTGCTGAAGGAATCCCATGTGTAGAACCGCGAGAGAACGATTACATGAAGGCAGAACAAACAATCGCATCTGCGACTTCTCATTCCAACATCACTCAAACCTCGTGTCGGACGGAGAATCAAGACGATACTTCATTTGCTGCTGGCACGAGATGTCATACGCGGGAGTCTTGCGACACTAGCTCAAAACCGTCAGATGATTGTGGGGTGTGTACAGCTACCATGGTGCTCAACGATTCTCCTTTGGTCGATGAACAGTTGAAGAAAATTGCTGCAACTGATTGCGGACGTGAATGTTGCTCAACCGCGGACTTCTTACCAGTCGACTCATGCTGTCCCGGACCCAAGGGACTTCCTTCGTGCGTGTCATACATTTTGAAGCTTACATTGTAATAAACTTTTTGCAGAGAGCCTTGTGTCCTGCCGGACGCAGGAACCGATCATTTACAGTGCAACAGTGAGTCAGTCAACACATCGGTTTCAAGCAATGGTGACCATCCTGCGCCATGCGCTAAAGGAACCTCAGGTGTGATAGTGCAAGAAGACGAAGCATGAAAGCAGAACAGACAATCGCATCTGGGACCTGTCATTCAAACATCGCCCGAACCCCATGTCAGATGGAGAATCAAGACAATACTTCATCTGCTGCTTGCACGAAGCGATGTTATACGCAGGAGTCTGTGTGACACTAGCTCAAAACCGTCAGACGATTGTGGGGCATGTACAGCTACCACGGCGCCCAATGATTGTCTCTCGACCAATGAACAGTTGAAGAAAACTGCGGCAACCGATTGCGCTCAGGAATGTTGCTCAACCACGAACTCCTCACCGGTCGAATCATGTTGTCTTGAACCCAAGAAACCGTGTCCTTCGTACGTGTTGTACATTTTGAGGCTTTACATTGTAATAAACTTCTTGCAGAAAGCCCTGTGTCTCGCAGGATGCGGCAACCAGTTATGTCCAGTCCGACACTGACATTGCCCGAACCTCATGTCAGACGGAGAGCCAAGACAACACTTCATCTGCTGCTGACATGAGGCGATGCTATATGCGGGAGTCTGCGTGTGATATTGGCTCAAAATCGTCAGATGATTGTGTGCTATGTAAAGCTACCACTACGCCCAACGATTGTTTCTCGGACGATGTAAAGAAACCTGCTGCAACGGATTGCGCACATAAATGTTGCTCAACCGCGGATTCGCCAGTCAAATCATGCTGAAATATTCCTTAAATGTGCGTGCACAAAAATTCGCGATTTGATGCTCATTGCAATTCTGTTTCTCAGAGAAAGGAACGCAAACTACTCTTTCAATATTTTTTTAGATGTGTTGAGGAAAACGAAAATGAACATGTGAAGTTTGGAATCACGCTCAAGGAGAACTCCACTGATGGACAGGGCCATCGTGAATCGAACCTTCAAGTTTCTTCCCTGCTGGTGCTGAGACGAGCACCGACGTAATTTAGCAAGACGCATTGTATTTGTGGGGAGTTGGCGTATCTTCTTCAGTACTCATAATGAATGTACAAGCGACTCTTTTCTTTTTTATCTGCTTGGAGTTGACCCTCGATCAATTAGCCTTCCTTTGTACAAACGTGAACGACATCCCTACTGGTTAAAAGGATCTGATCAACTTGACAATTCGCAGGCCTCAATGACAAAAATGTTGTGCAGTCGCAGGCTCGCAGCTGTTGCAACGTAGTACAAAATTGTTATTTGAGGGGAGAGTCCCACTCTCAACAAGGTCCAGGAAAAGGCAGTCCGACAAGATGGTTATAGGGTAATCAATGACCTCAATACTCGCTTTGGGGTCCAGCTGTAGAGGGAAGACATACCACTTGGTAGCGGAAATACTACTCGATAGCCATGAACGTAGTATCCATTCGAAGGCTGATCAACGTGGGTCGAGGCAAAATATTTCAGCTCCTTTTTACCTTAACTACAGATACAGGACTCGATGACGGAGCTCGTGCGGGCCCCACTCCTCTCAAGGCACCTCCAAGGAACTTGTTTCTCTTTGTTCATGGTATTTCCGTATGCATCTGAGAGGAGTGCTGTTTTTAAAGAAGAGAAAAAGCTTCGGCCTCGCGCTAGAGACATTCGGGTCCATCTGTATATAATTCATGGATAAAACATACATCCGCTCCTCCTGATTGGTGCAGAAGGGCGTGTTTGGAACCGATATGAATCGTGCAGTGCACTAAATGGGTGAGGGACTTCAGAGGAGGCAGTGATAGGGTCGCAAAATGGGTGATTTCGTATTGTTTTTCCCGAAATTTAAATATTTGGATCGAGCCCACGTCTTTTCCGCGCGGCTCGAAATGAAGGAAAAGTCGCTGATACGACTGGGCAAGTCGTCGTCGTCGCGATCCTGCAAAGTCAGTGTTACCTATCAGCTACTAGGTGTTCATAGACAGGCACTTACGACAAGTATTTGACTCGTCTTCCAATTCCAAATTGTGATGTGAGGACTCTGCTCAGATGAAAACACAGCACAGTCGCAATACAAACGATAAGGAATAAGGCGTCAACAAAGGAGCGTGGGCGCAGATAATGATCAGATGACAATGAGCTCCTCAAGATGGTGGCGCAAAATGCCATCACGGACCCCGGCCTATACAGCCTGCGTTGCTTTCGTATCCTGTGCAAACCAGTGTGAGCCTGAGACAAGGAGATACTGTCAGAAAGGCAGCGCACGATGGCACAGGTATCATGACAGAAGAACGTCCGAGGTCTCGGAAACAATCGTTTCTATGAAGTCCCAATCAGGATTTATTTCACATCAAGGCTCAAGACACGACCTACATGCCTAAACTCGGAACTTCTCCTTAAAATATTTCGTTAGGTTTTCCAGGTCGTTAGGTGTGCTTCCAAAACTCGGCACGTAGGTTGCCAGTTTGATCACCGCCGCGAGAGTTTTCTGTAGAATGTCTATTTTGTTGAGGAACAGGATGATGTTCGCACGCGCGAGGAGAGGATTCGAGCAAACTTCGTTCCAGAGGTATATTGAGTCCTCTACTAGTCGGTTGGCCTGTCTGTCTTCTTCGAGGACTTGGTTGAATGACAGGGGTGCAAGGAAGATAATAGCTTCAACTGCAATCGATGTTAATAAACGTACCTTCAAATATGTCGTCAAAAATTACCGTCATCAAAGTATGGCCCACTGGGGTCGCATACATCTACTGCCACCAATATCGTAAATGTACCACTCTGAACCTGTTTACACGGGTCAGGAAAACTGGGAAAGGTAAGAGTAGGACCCACATCATTAAACTCTTGTAGGAAGCGATGTTCCTCTACACCAAATGTTCGTAATCTAGCACGGACGATATGCTCTATGACAGGATGAGGGTAAGGAACAGCAAATCTCAGGCATATAACAAACCTTCCGTAGGCTCGTAGTTCACCGTTACGATTCTTGCCGTGTCATTCAGAAAAAGCCCAGGAGAATCTTCCAGTCGAAGCTGACGTTGCCACCACGCGCAGCAGGACCTGGTAGGATACGCTCATGAAATGAATTGATCAGCCTGAGCAGTCTCGGAATGACCTGTGGACCTCACCAACTTATTATCATAATGCTTGTCAAGAAATAAAGTGGACGGACAAGATACAGTGGAAATGAGCGGGCTACATTCATGGATCTTCAACCGAGTAAGATCCGACTGATAACAGGGTACCAGATGAGCAGAAACCACTTCGGAAGGGTAACAGGCAACAGCCTGTAACAGGGTAGTACGACTTGGGGTACGTACGTACCTTGATTTCGGCGGGAGCTTTGTGGAGCCGAAGTACTTCGGAAGGGTAACAGGTGACAGGGCACCAGTACCACAAAGTATCATCATTAACATCTTGAGAGTTACAGAAGCGGGAGTTACGTAGGACGAGAAGAAGCATCGCAACATTTACGAAACGCCATATCCCCACAAAAGTACCATGCGATATAAACTTGGTAATGATAAGATCCAGATAAGATATATTGACGTGCTTAAATTAAAGGATTCAAACACGCGCTTCTACTAGTCAGGCTAGCGACGCCCGCCTTGTGTTCCTCACTCCCAAAGCTTGTTTTGTTCAGTTCTCCGCGACGCAGCCAGATCCACAGTAAGTTTTTTTAACTGAGATATCTTACATTTCATTGACATCAGTATACGTACTAGATGTCGGTCCACTCGTCTCGGAACCCAGAATCAAATTATGGCCGCGGTGACGATGACATCAAGCACGACCGTATGGAAACTCCAAGTCCGGATCTTCAAGAAAGTAGCCACGACGAATTCACCCCGACAAAGGAAAAGACACCTAGCGTCTATTCAACCCCTCCTACTCGTCGCTCGCAATCGGGATCACATACTTCTTTTTCTTCACGAACCCGCAAGGCATTCAATGAGCACTATTTCAAAATGTACGGCACAGGACGCCATTGCATCCTCACACTACAAAATGACTCCAATCTTCTGCATATGGCTCACATCGTTCGACGCAAAAGCTCCCACGAGATGGCAAGCAGTCCTGTGAACTATGAGATGTGCGATGCTGACGTTTCTTTAGTTCTGCCTCTATGAATATTGCCTTGGCTTAAAGTATTCAGACTTTCATCATGATAGTAGACAAAACCTGCTCAATTGTAACCCACATTACATCTTTTGTGAGCAAATGCTGATTTTAGTCCACAGTAGGCGTCGAGGTGCATTATTCTTTTGATCAGAATTACTGGTTTTTTTTACCGGATATCCATGTGCTGCAAGACGTGCATGATTATGTCAAGACGATCATTTCATGGAGGGAAAGCACGTCATCTAGCAAGGCTCCTCTATCATTTTTAACAAAGGTATGTTACTCATGGTATTATTCACTATCGAAATACTCACTTTCGTGCAGTGGAAACTCGAAAAATTAACTCAATACACCCTAGTGGCCGTAATCTATACACCGCCGATTTCGAGGATAGAGCCAGGCCAGTCACCAATAACTCATACATATCCTTTCCCCGATTTCCCAACACTTGTATGTCATATTGCGCCTCCTTTTGCCGTCATAAACGCAGGGCCGAAGTGCAACCGAGATAAAATTGGTGAAACTGTTCGGGGACGCTTCCCGCAACCGACGGATGAGTCTGAAGAATTTGAACGGCGACTTACGCTGTTGTGCGATACTTGGGATCTTTTTCAGGGCGCCGCGAGCGCTGCTCAGGCTTGGCGGGTACGATGCAGTGGAGAGCAAAGGGCTTGTAAAAGAAAGAGGGAAAAGCCCGACTCAGATCAAATACCCATGCGCATCACAAGATCTAAATCACGCCTAAATCTCACCGGTACGCCCTCCTTCAACGCTCTCAACGCCCAAGCTCCATGACGACAAACTTCATACCCACCAGGCCATTTCAAACGCAATCTCTCATCCACATCAGACAGACTCACTTGTCAGGCGCTCGCACGTCACGGGAAACGACCAAAAATTGGGACATGTGGTTATGATGGCAGCTGGTCTCGAAGTGCAATCGCAGATTGGGCTAAGGATTCTTCCAGGGCCTCATCTCTACTAAATTCTGATGTCCTTGGATAATATCTTATATTTGCACATGTGACAGCATATACTTCTTATCGAACAACTATCCTCCATGATCACAGACTGGATGTTTGGGCTTTCGTTCGACGTAGAGCCCTTACTGCCCATGTAAAATTGTTACAACATTCTCAGACATATTTGCAGATTTGGAACTTGTGCATTGCGTTCTTTATATGGATGATAGTAACTTGAAATCATGTACCTGATGGACGCGGCCAATGCGAATGTCAACATTGTCAAGTTCCCACTCATTCATTCATCCAATGATCCAGAGTGAGCTGCACCGTAACTACTCAACCGCATAAGGAATACGAAAGTGTACTTTCTCTCGAACACTGACCAGGCAAAGATTGGCAAGGCGCACTAACAGTACGTCAATTTCAGCTTTCAGAAGGCGACCCTGACACGGGAAATCTGTCTCCACTTGAACTCGAAGCGTAACCGTATAGATGTGACAATGATAATGGCGACGTATTTGAGTTCCAGGACCTTTTTAGGGTCCTGGTTTAGCGTGCACTAGCAGTCTTATATCGATCTTACCGGGGGTTGACGATCCGTGATGTTTGTCAGTATGTCAGATGGATAGATTCAATAGCTTAGGAGCGAGGACATGCGTCCTGTGATTTATGTCTGCATTTCAGTACTAGTGTGCAGAATCTGAATTGTCAGACATATTTGTAAATTTGAAAGGTACTGGGTCCGGAACGACTGGAGCAGCCATATTTGTTGGGGACGTAGCGGGTAAGTCGAGACTAGACCAGACGCACTGGCAGACTGCATCGAAGATGATTAGGAACACAATGAAGCCCAGCGGAACTCTGAGACGGTCTTTATGGACGGAGAACCGAGAGCAGTAAGTGTGGGAGATGGGGAGGAAGATGTAAAAGCGCGGTATACCCAGATGGTATGATCATAAGTGAGAGTGCAGAGGGTTGAAGCCCTTGCAAGCAGATGTAAACAGGTACGGGAAAGATTCATCATCAGATCGAGAAATAACACAAATGTCGAGGAGGGTGAGAGTTTAGATTTTCAAACAAGTGTGGTCAATATCTGGAGGGGCGCGGACGAAGGGAATAGTACAGTGCACAACCGCCAAATCACGCAGGTGTGGGAATTCATACACAATGGAGTGGAAGAATCATACCGCGGAAAACGAGCCGTCTGAGAGATGTAAAGGAAGTCACTTGTGATAGGAGAGTGTTGTAAAGTGCCAACTCATGATGGATACACATAAATCATAATAAACACGAGCATTACGCACGAGTCACGATTGCCGCCGGGAGCAACGGCGCTTATTGAATCTACTGCAAGAACTGTCGAATTATTACAGTCATTGACGTATGCAAGTCCCTTGGACTGTGCCTCCGATTTGCTTTGGTAGTTGACATTGCCACTGGTGGGGTCCGAACCCGTGGAAAAGTCCCAATCACTAGATGTTTAATTAACCGCGTTGAATTTGCACATAGTATGGACAAGCGGTACCTACTTGATGAAATCCTCCCCCTGATAAAAGTCTTGAAATGTGTAAATGTTATTGGTAGATTGTCTATGGCCAGCAGTACGGCGGTGACGCGAGTGCGTATGCGACGGATGGTGAGCACCAACCAAGGTGGTCAACAAAAGTGCGGCCAGAAATAGCTTACAGAGTGTGTGCCTCGTGAGGCAGAAGAAAATGAGGGAAAGCAGTTGTCCAAAGGATTAAACGTAAGGAAATTTAAAGAGAAGGATGTGGAAAGTGGAACAAAGAAACGGTCGTGAGAGACGTGCAGTCGACGATAGTCGACATGCAACGTCAACTTCATGTTCGACGACGATGGAGGTTGAGAAGAAAAGACGAACCACCATTATTCACCTAATGGGTGGTTATCCCGCCAGATAGAAGGTAAAAGGTAAAAGCGAATGGAATTTTGAGAACAAAGACGCGGAACACTGAAAGAACTGGACGTGCAGTCGACGATAGTCAGGCATGCAACGTCCGAGTCAATTTCATAGTGTTCATAGTCAATGATATGATCATGAGAAACGTGCAGTCGACGATAGTCGACATGCAACGTCCACTTCATGTTCGACGGTCTCGACATCGAACGCTAAGCGTTCGACGACGATGATGGAAGTTCAGAAGAAAAGACAAAGATTATGTAATCTACATGTGGCGTTACAAAATTGCTCGCTATGGGTGGGCTCATGATGAAGTTCCTCTGGATAATTAGTTATTCTAAGCGAGCCGAGGTACGAGGCAGCGTAGAATTTAGTCTATGTGTTAGTAAGCGATGTGGCGCAGCGCTCTTGCTCCCGCCGTCCACATCAGCGGTACCGCTTCGACTCGGCTTGTAGTATGCTCACGCCGCAAAGCCTCGTTTTTGTTTGCACCCACCCGCCACTCCCTCTCTCAGGGGTGCAGACAAATGCTTCGTAGTTACATTATGTAATCCACTACTTACCTTTGTCCGACGCACTGCACTCGACACTTGCAATGTCGGTGACCTGATCGGGGCCCGTCACAGCTCACCTTGCTACCCAGTTCGGGTGCATGTTTCGGGCCGAAAAAACCTTTACTAACCTTCGGCCGCACTGGTCACAAGTGCGCGCCGCCTTACTTCCCGCGTGACACTTAGCGCCGACACGCATAGACCCTTCAACCTGTACGAGAGTCCAAAATACCTCATGGGTCGAGGCCGAGATCAACAAGTGTCAAGCAATCGAGGTTGTCCACAAAGTCGCAGCCTACAATGGGAAAACGAGCAACCTCACCCTCGAAGACCTCCAGAGGGCTGGAAAACTGACTGAGACTACGATCGACGATGGCGTTCGTATCGACACATCTGCTTTGGCTGCCGTGCAGAGGAAGATGAAGATGGGAATGTTTAGCAATAATCATGTTAAATCCTTATTTGCCACTCGAAAGATGGCTTGGTCGACTACTATTTTGATCATTATCTGGGGTGAGTGCCACGCATCACGAGCCGATCGCTCAAGTATTGATTAATGTCTTCGTGTTCCTTCAGCTTTCATCGGTCTCGCGTTTCTGCTGTAGGTTTGTTCGATGTTTTTGTGACCTTCCTTGCTCAGACTTTCTCAGGTACTTAACAGCTTCGTAACATACTTGTGAGTGGTCCAAAATATGGCTTGTTCGCCACCAACTCTTTACTAGCTTGGCCACCCGAGGGGCAAATTTTGGCGACGCCGGTTCCACATATATCACATGTCGCAACGTACGCTGGTTTACTGCCTGCCATTCACTGGACTCATGCTCTACCTAGCAAGTTATACTCGGCGTGATAGGCGTTCCTGGAGCGATGATGGCAGGAGCTTCCGTACCTCGGTAGGCGAGAGACCTTGGTGATATTCACTGGTAAGATTTTTCCTCAGCGTAATAGCGAGTGAGCAAGCTAGCGCATATATGCACGACTCCAACAAAAACGAGGTGTCTACGCTGAAGGACAATCGTCCTCTAGAGCAGAGGATTATTCAGACGTAGTAAAGACTGGTCACAAGTCTAGTCTACTGGCGTATTGTACAATGAGCAACAAAGTCACATGGTTGGTTTCACAAGTATGCAATCGCCATCATCAAGATCGTGGCCATTAGCGTAAGTGCTGCGAGCCCTCTTATTTGCATTGCCTAAGGAATTCCCTGGAACGTTGTATCAACGTATAAGCCACAGGTGCATGTGCAACAACAGTGAAGTACCTGTTGAAACTCTTGGACGCTTGGAGAGGTTGCTTGCAGTCACATGCGCAGTTGACTTGAGGGCAGATTGTCTACTCGGAGTTGCAGCGCGCGATGTCTTAGGGACCGATGCGGTTCGAGCTGGCGAACGTATCTTAAAGTCACAGCCAATGCCTAATGATAAAAAGACGTACAACTGTGGTGGATAGATGGGACAGTCGCCTTGATCGCGTGAGTGTCAGTGGATGTGCCTGCTACAGAGCCGTCAATATGATCAAGGAAAAGCAGTAATCGCTTACTAGTGACTACCCCGAGATCTCCAACAGGAATACTAGGGTCTTCTATGCCTGAGCTTGTATGTCTCTGATCGATATCGATATGGGCGCCTTCACACGACACCACAGCAGCTGCAGCATCAGCAGTACACCTGCCCCCTGGCCCGCCGCCTTCTTCGCCCGAGTTAGGCTTCATGCCTGTCACCGTTCCGTCGGTGGATCCATCACCTTTACCCCACTCACCCACAGGACCTTCTGTTCCTGCAACTCGTCAGCTGAAGAAGGAATGGTGACTACAGCGTACAGCAAATGCTTACCAGTACCTGCCCTTGCCTTGCCTTCATCCTTAGTCTGCAGGGTCCTGGTTGTATCCAGTGTACCAGTACTATGTGAGGTGGGTGCGGAGTTATCAACGCTCAGATTGGGCGGTTCACCATGAGCATCAGGCCCTGGGCGTGGCTGCTGTGGTTTCACCAATTTAGTTGTCAATATCTGAGACTGTGGCTCATGCGCCTGCATCATTACAGGAGCTGTGGAGGCAGGCAGGCAGGCCTGCTCAACCTCTGGTTCATCCTACAGGAAGTGCGTTAGCTGTCTGCTGTCAAGATAAAGATCAACACACGTGCATAAACTTACAATCGTGTATTGATCTTCTACGCCTTGTATAGCTGGAATCATAAGATCAACGGTATCCTTGATGTTGTATAAGATACTGTCGTCACCCTCCAGAGCTCGTATGCGCAGACGAGTGCAATTGATCTCCAGTTCCTAATATGCATTTCTCGTTAGTGGCGTGCATTGGCAGCCGCAAATGATAAACGTACATGTATCAACGTCTGTAGACCTCGAACAACATTCGCCGCCATCGGACTGTGGGTCGAGGAGGTTGCCTGCGCACCTGCCATATGCTTGACATACAAGGTCAAATTGACAATAGCAGCACGATCACGTTCCTCTAACTCATGGTAACGATGAATGTGTGTGTCCTTGACATGTTCATCAACCATGAGTGAGGCTGTCATGGTTGGGGCGACATCTGACGGAATCTCAGCACCGTCATACCATACCCACCTCTTCCGCTTGATGGTCC